AGGACATACACAATGCCTCCTGCTGTTTGACACTCTCCGTGGCCTTCACCCTCTCCCACGCTTGCTGCAGTCCACGGAACCATAATGCCCTAGAATGAATCACCTGTTCTATCTCTGTTCTCACAGGCCCTAGGCTGGAGAGGAGCTAGTAGAGGCAGTGAGCATAGGGGTCAGGATCCTTTGTTTCTCATGAGTAAAAGCAGGAAAAAGCCCTCCCTCACTTGGCTCACCTGGATATTGTAAGAAGAGAAATAGCTGGAAAAGGCTTTGATAAAAACAACCAACCAATCAAAGGGAGCCCTGTACAGATGAAAGAATTTGATCCCAAGAGTAGCCCTGAAGGGAGAGGCGTGTTCAGACTTCGGAGAGGCTCACTCAGCTGTGTCAGTGGCCCTGGGAGGATGGTATCAAGGTAAGGTAGGGGCACTCAGCTAGAGGGAGATGGGCAGGCTGGCGCCCAGCTCACCCTGTTCCATGTCAAACATGTCCATCGTCCGGAGGAACTTGGGCTGCCGGTAGAGCCGACCCTGCCGCAGGCCTCCCAGGCTGTACAAATGGTCGTCCAGGGTCACAAAGCTGGAGAAGGCCCGCTTACAGGGAATATTGGGGAACTTGGTCCAGGAGCGAGTCTCAATGTCAAAGACCTCGAAGGCGTTGACCACATACTTGGACTGTCGTCCCCCTGGAGACCAGAGCAGGGTGGGGGTTGGGCAGAAGAGTAAGTCCCTGAGGACAGGGGCTGTTATCTGATCATACAGAAAGCTCCTTAAGGGATGGGCTTAGCCCCTGGTGTCAAGGAGATGCTCAACACACAGGTACTGCTTCCCGTGGGAACTGACCCAAGGGAAGGAAGGAGGGACGGTCCTTACCCAGCACATAGATCTTGGAACCACGGAGGAAGGAGGTGGCAGCATATCTCGGGGTGGGCATGGGTGCAAGCGACACCCACATGTCCTTGAGCATGTCATAGTGTTGAAGATGGTTGTGCGGACGGAGGTCCAGGCCCATCCCGCCTGCTGCATATACTCGGTAATCTAAAGAGAAATGCCGCAGGCAAACCCTGGCTCAGCTCACAGACACAATGAGACAGGCCCATCGCTACTCATCACCTACCATGGCCAGGTTCTGTTAACCCCTTGGACACCAGCACTGAAGCCAGGCCAGGTTCCCAACACTGCTCTGCCAGAGTGAGCCATATATATGTCAGTGGGGGTGGGGTTGATGGCACCATTTAAAAGTCCCTGCTATAGTTGAGCCTAAGTCTCCTTGAAGCTACGTCAGGCCTGTGTGCCTTAGCCTTCCTTGGTGTCCATCCCTTGGCTTAGCCCGAAATACTAAGCCTGGCACAGGGGTAAATTGTGATGGGGTCTAGACCTAGACAACGCTTGGCAGGTCTGTCCCCTCCATTCTCCTCCTTCCTGGGCAGCTGGAGGTGATGCCAAAGAGGAAGGATATTTCTCTGATACCCTCCAGTAGTGGCCTGGCCCAGCCCAGGCACTCCCATGTTGGAACTTTCTAGACCTAGCAGGAGCCTTTGAAAATGACAGCCCTGCTGTCATTGGCCTTGTGGGACACTGGACTGTTGCTGGTTCTTTTTCTGCGACCCTCGTGGGGGAGTGTCATGCTCCTTCATACACTGGGAAGCGTGTGGGCTCCAGGAGGCACCCTGCACCAAATGGGATAGGGCCACTCACAATACTAGCCCCTTTAAGAAACCCTGCCCAGGCAGTGAGCTGAGCACTCTGAGAAGAGAAGCAGTACTCTCTCATGCTCTGCTGCTCTTGGATGTACATGGCTTTTCAAGGCATCCATGTTTTTCCCTGGGCCTCACCTCAGTACCTCCTGTAGACTGTCAGGAACAGAGCTCCCCCTGCACCCCAGCCTCCAGGGCCCTCTTTTTCCAAGGGACTCACCCCTGTCTCCCAGTAGCCAGTCCTCACCACTTCTGGCTCTAAGAGGCCTTTGTTCTTCAAGAGTATTTCAGGGATGAGTACTATTTCCTTACTTTTCAACCTTACTGAAAAAAAGGAGGCGGGGGAATCCCAACCCTAGCCTGACACCAACAGATGGGACCTGCTAATGAATTTACCTTACGCAAGTTCCACCTCTCCCATCCCCATGACACCTGAAACACACTTCCAGTTGGAAATCCTCTAGTCCCCTCTACTCATCTTTTCAGATTCGCCTGGATGTCCCTGAACCGCAAGGTTGGGCTGAGAACACTAACTCATTGTTTCCCACGGTATCTGCATCACTCTAGTCACCATATGTTACTGAAATAATCTTTGTTTCTTCCAATAGATTAAGTCCTTGAGAATTTGTTAATCTGTGGCCCCAGCATCAGGTAAAAGGCCCGACATGCAGGCATGTAAATGCTTATTAAAGTAGTTAAAGAACCCGTTTAATACCATAATTAAGAGCGTAGACTTGATCATCACTTACTGTGTAACCTTGGGTAGGTTATTTAGCGTCTCTGGGCTTCTCACTGCTTCTCTTTAAAATGATAATAATTGCACTTACTTCATCAGACAGGTTGTGAGGATCAAAGGGGTTAATATATCTAAAACACCTATGGTAAGGACTCAATAAATGTTAGTTCTTAATCTTTTAGCGCCATTTATTGAGGCTGGGGATAAAGGACTACTCTTTCCCTCTCTATTTCCCCATGGGCCTCTATGCCTTCCATCCTTACTGGGTGTTTGTGGAGGCCCCACTGGCCATTCTGCCCTGAGGGATTCCAGACTAGTTTCTCTCTGGTCACCTCCATTGGTCAGGCTTGAGTTCCTAAAAGCAGAGCCTGGATCTTCTGCCTCTATCCCTCCTCCTAGAGACCTAGGCATGTGCTAGGGACAGAGCAGGTGCTCAGGAGATACTGGTGCTCTACAGTAGACCCAGCAGGATGATTTTGCAAGAGAGGGAGGGAAAGTTGCATCCTACTAAGTAAGCCTGTCTGAATTTGGGGTCTCCTTAATTCCTGTTGGACCATTTCCCATAAAACCCTTTGTGTTTTAGCAAGAGAACTTTCAGCCTCCCCACCCCCGGTCTATGCTCTGAGCTGTTCCAGGCCAGAAGAGAAGGAAACGAGGGGCTTGGAGAAAGTGAAATGAGAATTATAAAACCACGTGGTCAGCATACACATGGCCCGAGAACTCAGTGAACCTGGGTAAGACGCTGCAGGAGCACAACCCTCAGAAACATCCTGGTCTCCACTCATCAGTATCTCAGAGATTAGGAGACAGAGGGGGAGGTTGAGGCTGGGGAGATGGCCCTGGAATCAGGTCCCAAAGTCCCCTCAGTGGGGCCTGGTGATGGGACAAGGAAGAACATTCCAGGACCCTGAATATGTGTCTGGAGGTGGTGGCATGTGCAAGTCAGGTTTCAAAGGATGGGGTGTTGTGGGTGGGATGCTCTATCGTTCTGCTGAATGAAGGGGTCTGCAGAGCCATTTCGCTCAACTTCTGGCTCCCCCTTTGGACCAGTCTGCTCAATTTGTTGGGAGGAGCCTGGTGGAGTGGAGCTCTGGCATCATATAGAATTACTAGACTCTTCATTTGCAGAGTCTCCGTTTTCCCATCTGAGACAGACCAGTGGGTCTCTAGTTTTAGTGACCATTGTAAGGATCAAATAGGATCAGTCATTTGGTAGTGGGCCCCCAACTCAGTGCTGGCTCCCATCCCTTTCCCAGCGCCTGCCGCCCCCTGTCCCCCACTCCCTTCTCTCTGCTTGCCCTCAGCCCTGGCCCCACTCGCCTTTGGCCGTGACCGAAATGCCCATGGCGGCCTCACGCAGCACGCTCCTCTTCTTCCACTTGCCCTCATCGATGTTGTACATCTCCACGACCTTCAGGGGCAGCTGACTGGTGCCCACACCCCCAATCACCATGATCCTCTTCCCCAGAGCGGTGACGGCCACCCCAGCCCGGGCTGTGGGCAGCGAGGGCAGGGCGGTCCATTGGTCAGCCTCGGGAGAGTAGACCTCAAAGCAGTCCATGGGGACGCCGTTGTCATCACATCCCCCGATGGCATAGACCTGCCCCCCGGTCTCCAGCAGGGAGCAGTAGACCCGGCGGCTGGGCAGTGGCGCCAGGCGCTTCCACTGGAAGTCCTTGACGTTGGGCACCTCCATGGCAGCCCCGGGAGCCCCGCCCGCCGCGCCCCAGCGCACGCGGAGCGCTAGGGAGCCGGGGGAGGTGCGAGCCGTGGGGTATGGGGAAGGTTCCGGCTACTCCACGCCCCCTCTCGCCGCCTACATCGCCAGCTCCCGGCGGACCCGGCAAGGGCCCCGACGCCGGCTAGCGCTTCACAGCCCCTCCACACTCAGCGGTCCCGCGGCATCCACGCCAGGCCCTGCGGGAGGAACGCGGCGAATCAAGGGTGGTTGGGCCACGAGCCCTCATCTCCTGGCGCTTGGCGGTCGGGCGGGCTCCCAGCCCCTGGCCAACTTTAAAGGGAGGACGCGGCAGTCCAGGGCGCCACCACGCGGCGGCATCACGCCCTGTACCGCTTTGTCCCTCACCCCTCCCAGCCTGCTGGTCGGAGACCTGCCTGGGGCGTGGGGCGCGGGGCGCGCGGGGGGTGGGCAGGGGCTTGGGTTCCGGGTGCCTGGCTGCCTCCCCACTAAGCAGAGTTAACACCTTTCGGCGCCCATGCCCCCTACTCCCCCACCCCCGTGCCCCTCCCTGCAGTCTCCCTCCGCCTCTGTACCACTTACCCAGCCAGGCCAAGCAGCGCCGCGCGAGGCGCAGACAGCGCATCACGCGTGAGCCGGGAGCCCCCGCCCGGCGGCTCGGGGAGCAGGGGACAGGCGCTCTGTCCTTACCCAGTCCGCACACCGCTGTCAGACATGCAGAAGAGGAGAGTAAATGAGCAGCAGGAAGGAGAATACCGGCCGCTGCAGGGGAGGAGGCCGGCCAGCCCGCTCCACGCATCCCCACCCGCCTATGCCGCCACACCTGTGCAGGAATCCGCGTGCGCCCCGCGGCGGAGCAGCCGTGACCTCTTTACATAAGCCCAGGCTGAGCCCAGCCGGTGGGGGAGGGAAGGGGCTGGCGGAGATGCTCACCTTGTACACAGGGTCAGGAACAGCGGGGCACTAGAGCCAAGTACCCAGATGACGGGTACCAGACTCCCTCCAGTGTGGGGGTGGGCGGTTTGTGAGTGTTTGTTTGGATGAGGAGGCGGAGAGTCCAATTACCCAGTTTATCTACAGTACACAGACACAGTTCGCGACAGGCTGGCTCCATAGTCAGCTTTGCTTTGGGGGAGCTATTATCAAATGGCTTAACCTAATAGAAATGAATGATGTGGTTGTGACCCACGCAGACCTCACTCAGGTGCATCCAAACAATGTATACACCGACCTGCACACATAAGCATAACTTACATATTACCGTCTCCCCCCTTCCCCCACATACACATATCCACGGAGAAGCTGACAAATGCGTTGATAGGCAGACACACAACCAGAAGCACCAACATAGACACACACACATAGGCTCTCTCTCCCTTGCCCCTTTCTTCACACACACCTTGGGAAGGGGAAACATGATTATCCAATCTTGTCCCTCAGCATCAACCCACAGGGCTTGCCAAATAATTCTTTGAAGCTACTCTCTAATAGCTTTTTCTGGACAGTGGTCCCCAGTAACAAAGCTGCCATGACACCAGTGGCTACCTGGTCTGATGGACTGCAGGGCCTCTGGGATCCTCTTCCTACTTGAACATAGCCAAGTCTTGAAACACTTAGGCTTGGGAGTCTGACGGACCTGGGTTTGAATCCTGGCTCTGAAATTATTTAATTGAATCTGAGCATTCGTTTCCTTCTGTTATTTTAATTAACCTTTTTATTTTGAGAGAAATTGTAGATTCACGTGAGTTGTAAGAAATAATACCTTTTACTCAGTTTCCCTCCTGAGTAACATCTTGCACAGGATATGAAAATTGATCAGTGAAGATACAGGACATTTCCATCACCACAAGGATTCTTCATGTTGCCCTTTATACTCACACCTACTTCTCTCTCCCATCCTTTCCTCCCCAGCTCCTGGCAACCACTAATCTGTTCTCCATTTCCATAATTTTGTCATTTCAAGAATGTTATATAAATAGAATTGTACAGTATGTAACCTTTTGGGATTGGCTTTTCCTCCCCCAGCATAATTCTGTGGAGATTCATTCAAGTTGTTGCCTGTACCAATAGTTTATTCTTTTTTTTTTATTTCTGAGTAGCATTCCATGGTATGAATACATCCTTGTAGATTTTTCTTTTAAAGATTTTATTGGGAAATTAGGGAAGGGGAACAGTGTTGGGGAATTGGGGAAGGGGATCAGCCAAGTTGTTGTTCTTCAATCTTCGTTGTGGAGGGCGCCGGTTGCCATTTGGCCTCTAAGCTCAAGGTGCTGTGTTCAATCTTAGTTGCGGGTGGGCGTAGCCACCATCCTATGCGTGAGTCGAACCAGCAGCCTTGTTGTTAAGAGCGCACGCTCTATCCACTGAGCCATCCGGGCGGCAGCTCAGCTCAAAGTGCTGAGTTCAGTCTTAGTGGCGGGTGGGTGTAGCCCACCAATGAATAGGCAATCTTGTTGTTACACTAGCTGAGCCATCCTGCCACCTGTTGGCAGCTCAGCGACAGCTCAGCTCTGGCACAGCATCACTGGCCCATGTAGGAATTGAATCAGCAGCCCTGTTGCTCAGAGTTCGTGCTCTAAGCCAACTCTTAACCAACTGAGCCATTTGGCCGGCCCATCCTTGTAGATTTTTATTAAGACTAAATGAGATAATATTTGTAAATTTCTGCTTTTGAGATACAGCAAGGGCCTGGTATGTCTCTATTAATATTATTACTACTTCAACTACTGTCAACAAAACCAAGAAAAAGGAAAACCAAGAACAAGCACAAACATTTTGCCCCTTACTTAGAAATCACTTCCTGTGAGAAACAAAAGTCACAACTCACAACAGGCCCACCTTAATATCTTCAGTCCTTGGCTTAGAAATTACACTGATTTTTAGTTTGAATTCTCTGTACTTATAGAGTAATCACCTCTAGAACTTCTCTAGAGCCTTCACAGAGGAAGGTTGCTTTCTGTTTTCTCTATTCGATAAGAACTCATAAATTCCAAAAGAATGTGGTCTGACTTAGTCAAGTTTCATAGGAAACACCAAACATTGCTCCTTTTCCTGAGGAACACAATCTGCCCACAGGAGTAAGGAACAAACCCTCAACCTTTAACTTGAACTGGGTTCACAAAATCAGGAAGCTTGAAAGCCATGGACCTTCCTCAAAGAGGCTTGTTGAGATTGTCTTCAGCCTCTTTTGCCCACTGAGCCTCCTACCAAAGCAGTGAGGCAAGGCTGCTTGTGCCTCCACCCACCTCCGCTGGGGCAGCTTTATAAGCAGGTATAGCGTTCCATACTTGATGTTTGTATCTCTCATTGAGTTAAACTAAGCCTTTGCACATCCTTTTCCTCATAACCTTGGAAAGGTTGCCAGGACAGGTATCAGTATCTACTTTTTACAGGTGGGAAACCTGAGACAGTGAAATGAAGTAACTGACTTATGACCATGTGAGCTGTTCAGGGTAGGTCTAGTTTGTGACTTCCACATCTAATGCTCTTTCGGTTTATCACAATTAAATCCCAAATGAAAGACTTGTGCATTATTAAGGATATCAAGCTTTTCCACTCTTACCTGGCTACTTGGTTTTGGTCCAATTACAGTGAAGGAAGGAACCCAGACCCCCAAAGTGTTCCCATTGCGATATTGTCTGTGCCGGGCAGTACAGCTGGGAAAGGACTAGAATCCAGCCTTGGCATAGACCCCTTTCTAACCTAATGCTCATGTTCCTCAACTACCACCCTCCACGAGGGCCATGAGATCTAGGGGCTCAGACCCTTGGAAAAGTACTAAGTACAGGATATCTTCTAGGCCATGGCATAATTGCTTGTTCTTGAAGTCCTGGTTTCTCTCCATCTCCCCTACTCCTTCCTGTCTGACTTTTCCTCCCAGCCAGGTGACATCCTTTAGTCCTTACATTAAGGAAGCTTGTAACCTAGCAACCACCACTTAAGATTCCCTGAGTCACCTTCGGTTTCCAGGCCTGGGCTTCCCACAACAAGCTGGGGCTTTAAAGGGTGCCAAGTGTGTGTGGGGGGCAGTGACCCACCACCCATTCAAACCCACCACCCATTCAAAGTGTGTGACCACTTCTGTGAGGAATTTCTTCCTCATGTCAAGCCTAAACCCTTTCTGCTCTAAAGACCATGCATTGTATTGGGACTGGGTTTCTCTGTCTGAAAAAGTTTCTGACTTACTGCCTTGTTTACAAGGTGGTACAGGGAGGGTTAAAAGTGGGGAAGGAAAGTTCATGAAAGTCTCTAAAGATAAAACTTTTGGTACCATAGAGTCTTTATCATTGTGATGTTGATGCATCAACCAAACTTGTTGAGGAGTGCTCAGCCCCAGGAAAAGTCATTCGGTATTTATTTTATTAAAAAGTCACATCTAGGGCTGGCCAAGTGATGTGTTGGTTGAGTTGGCTTGGGATGCTAGCTCTGAGCAGCAGGGCCCCGGATCGGATCTCACATGAGGGCCAGTGACACTGTGCCCTCTACAGCTAAGATGGTGAACAACTGCTCAACCTGGAGCTGGGCTACCGTGAGTCGCTGGTGACGGCGTAGGCTGCAGCCCCTGCTGCAGTGGGTTGCCATGAGCTAACGTGAGTGGCTGGCAGCCAGCGTGAGCTGCCATGAGCAGCCGTCCAATGGCCGGTGAGCGACTGCCTCACCTGGGAAGAGTGCAATGATAATACCAACATGGGCCAGTGAAGCGACATCCTCCACAACTAGACAGAAGAACAAAAGAACAACTTGTCTGTTCCCCTTCCCTGATTCCCCAACGCTGTTCCCCTCCCCCAATTCCCCAATAAAATCTTAAAAAAAGAAAGTCACATCTGGGGTTTCTTCAGGTCTAATTTGCATGCCAACGAAATGCCCACTTTGACTCAGTATCAACTGAGTTTATTAGATATTCAGCAGGGGCCTGACTTCACCAAATTCTGGTAGGTTATGGGGAAGCTGAGGGTCGGGGGAGGAGGGCAGTTTCTTCCCAGTAAACCAGGCAGATTCCCATCGTGGCAGAACGTGGATGGAGTCACGGTGTGTAGGGCTTCAAGGGATTGATGGGATCCCAAGTGTAAGGCACATTTGGGGGGTGGGGAAAGAGTTGTTTAGCTCCTGTGGCAGCTCCTTCTCCCTCCTCAGAAATACTGACCTACCCCCCTGTCAGTCAGTGGGCACCACCAGAACGCCCTCTGTGGCTGGGGGCACCCACCTGGAGCTCCCCGAGGCCGAGGTCCCCTTCTTTTTGTAGCTCTCTTTCTGCAGTGCTCCATAGACCGTGGGGTAGCAGGGAAATCTATAGACTCTGGGATCAGACAGACTGCCTGCATCCTGGCTCAGCCACCACTAGCTGTGTGACTGTGAATACGTAAGTCACTGTCCCTCTGAATCTCAGTTCTTCATCTGTGAAAAAGGGAAGAAGGAAATCTACTTTCTGGAGTTATGGGAGAATGAGATGCCAGGTGCAGTTCCTGGGCAGGTACTAGGTATTTATTCTGTCAAGGTCTTCTCACCTCCATAGTGATGGCAAGTTTTCAGACCTCTGAATGCATATTCAGGTTAGTGTACCTGAATAGCAGGTACCGATTTCACAAGGTAGGCACCTTAGCAGGCCCCACACCCTCCTGATTCTCGTCATTTATAGGCCTCTGTGTTGGGCAGGCTGTCTTTCCTCCTGGAGAACTGAAATGTTTGTCTCTGCAGCATAACGCCATTCTAATCTGGAGAACAGCTGGTGCCCTTCCTTTAGATAATCGCCTCTTTGTTCTTCACCAGAAGCTCAGGCTATATTCCAGGGGTGGGTAGTGAGGATCACTCACCCAGTTAGGACTTGGGGAAGACCAAGGGAAGGGGAAATTTCTCCCAGCATGGGAGAGCCTCATTAGGGCTTCCTCCCGCCCAGCCCCAACCTCAGCCTAAAGGAAGGATTAGGGCTTAAGCCGACTTGATTGGAGATGGTGTGATGCAGGTGCCAGCAGGCAGAACCATAATCTGCTTCTGTTCACGAGGCACTGCCACCTTGGGGGTGGCAGTCTGGGGTCCTGCAGAACAGCCTCAGTCAGACATTAGGGTTTCCCTTCCTGACCACATGGCCTCGATTAGTGTTGAGTTAGCCACGTTCCTTCAATGACCCGCCTGTTCCTTCCACCTCCAGGGCCTAGCTTTATGCCTGGAGCCAAGGGGATGTAATGGGTATCAGTTAAAGAATGCATCTACCTACTTGTGAGCAACTTCTTGCCTGTTTAGGTAGAACTGGGACATTGGAAAGTGCATTTCAGGTATGGGATGGTGGGGTGGGTGAAGGACACATCTTGCTTTTCAGACTTAGGAGTTGCACGATTTAGGAGAAAGAGTTGGGAAGCCACACTCCTCACTGTTGAATGCGTAAGTTGATCATGCCAGCAGGGATGGAAACCTCTAAAAGACCTTGGCTACTTCCCTGTATTTATTGAGGAAGTTGTAAAAGGAATGAGGCTTATATGAAAGCTTGAGGATCTGGTTATAAACAAGGAAGAATTTCCTGCCCAGGAGCATCAGAAAATGCAAACACCAGCACGAGGTGAGGTGAGAGGCTAGGTGTTAACTCCCCTGGGAGATACTAGAAATAGGAAAGTCATAGGACTGAAGTAAGAGACCTCTGTTTTAG